AAAATATATAGTAAACTCAAAAAATCCCAATAAGTGTATATTGATTGCTTTGTGTGAAAGTTATAGCATCTACAAACTATGGTATAGATACTGCAATTGCAACATTTTTTGCTATACAGAGTTGTGCTAGTTTAACTGACAATTGCGCGATCAAGCTGTACCCAAACAAAATGTATGTCCTGTCTTTCACACAAATAAAGCTTTCTTTCGGTGGTATTTTATTACCTGTGCTCTTTTTATTTTTGTGCTATAAACAAAAAAAGTCTGAAAATATTGAAAAAATACAATATTTTCTCATTTCTGTCATAAAAAATATCCAAAAAACTCAAATTTTGTCATAAATTTAGGCCGAAATGCATTCTGCTACATGTTTTTGGTAGAGGCGTAGAGGCTAAATGCTGGTGCTGGTAAGTGCACATGTAAGTGCTGGGGTTGATCCTGCTAACACTGCATTTTTGGGGACACTATACTAATGTGAATGCTGGTATAGTGCTGATCTCATCAAAGATATTGATCCATTCAGACACTATACTAGCAATTGAGATTTATTGTGTATGTGAGCATGTTCCTGGCAATCAAGGGGTTAAATGTGATTACTGGTGTACTGATGGGCAATCTACGCTATCTGGGAGAGGAACTAATTGATGCTAAAGCTATCTGAAGTCGCTGGCGACACTAATACAGTGATCAGCAAAAAATCTGTACACTGTACTAATGATACTGGTGACAGGGCAGTGAAGGGGTTAACTGGGGGGGATGGTTAACAAGGGGTTAAGTGTCCTAAAGTGTTCTAAAGGTGAAAAGTGTGCTGCTTTTACTCACTTTGTCTTTATTCTTCTCTCTCTAGGATGGAATGTGCCCAGAGAGAGAAGATGTCGTCATTTCCTGTACCTGTGTAACTGTAAACACAGTTACAGGAAGATCCCTGATAGGATAGAGATTGATAATCCAATTTAGGCCGACCATCACTAGCCTAAATCGGATGATTGACCCCTTGGGGATCCTTATACGTGATTATACGTATATACGTGATTTTGAGCACCTGTGCCACCCTGTAGCAGTATTTCTGTTATAGGGTGACGCGGAAGCGGTTAAAAACTCACAATGTTCACAATAAACAAAGCAATCTTACAGACGGGCCAATAGTGGGTCCTGGAGCATGATGACATCAGTCTATCCCTGCCCAAGTGTTTACGTACTTCCAGCGCAAACATTAAGAGTTTTTACATACTTCCAACTGTAATTTTAAGTCATAAACATTGGATTCTAAAGTTTAATTTATTAACTGTATTATAGTTATGATCATATAGGAGGGGTGTGTATATTGCCTCTCATATTGTTTCATTTTTGAAGATCGAGCACAGTAGAGCAGGGGTGGGCAACCTTAGAGAAGTGGAGATCTACCTGTACAACATGGGAAAAATCAAAGATCACCAGGCACTGTATCACCCAATGTTGCCTCCTCACCATCTGATTTAAACTTATAATTGTCAATGGCAAAATTTTGCCTCTTCACGACTTGTCAAACACGCTCGGATTGCTTTTCAGAATGCTGCCTTATGAATGAGCCCTTACTTTCATTGGGGCTGGCAACCTTAGAGCTCGTTCACAAATGTGTTTGGGGGTTTAATAAAACACTGCGGTTGAGCCACAGTTTTACCATCCCCAATCCTTACCCCCTTTAGCTGAAGTGGCAGCAGCCGAGAGGGTAAGCATGTGGTTGCGGTTGTGGTTTAAATGCATTAGCACACTCTGCAAGCACCCTGCACCACATGCAGTGCTCACAGTGCTAATGTTGAGGTCTAAGGAGTTAAAGCAAGTGGTGAGGAGGCAATAAAACACCTTCTCACCGTCTGCTTTAACCCCTTGGTTTCTGTACTGCAAAAAGTTGCAGAGTGCTTGCAGAGCAGCCCAATTCACTTGAATGTATCATGGGTTATACACCCGCCAAGCGTGACAGAGCATATAATCCTCCTTGCTGCCAAGGCATGTGTACACCCCTAGCCACTGCAGCTAAAGAGAGTGCAAATGAGCTCCTATATTCCCATCCCCCTATAATAGTTGCATTCTCTGTTAAAGCTGGTGTTATGTCCCTGATGATATCGGTGCACTGCAGTTCAAAGTGTGTGTGGGCTTCCCTTGTAGCATTGAAATGCACTGACCTGAACAAAATAGAAGACAATAGACAAGAGGAGTCCATTTTCAGCACACCGCAAACTGAAGCTTTTCTCTGTCTCCTTAATGCTGGTGCTGCTCCAGTCCTATTACTGCAGAATACAGAGAGGCAGAGTGCAGTTTATATCACTCCACAGGGGCCTGCAGCCAGAACTAGAGAAGCCGCCACCGTCCCTGGCCACTACTATTAAAAATTTGCCCCACTCTGACTGCTTCTCTGGCCGTGATTGACTGGTGGATTGCAATCAACTGGTTTGACCCCCCCCCCCCCCCCCCGTAGAGGTTATGACTACTTTCTTATGTGTTTCTTTAATGTTACAAAGAGAGGAAAAAAACAACTCTAAAAATATCCTGATTTTTGATGGGCAACAAGATTGAAGAGTGGTATATGACATTTATTTTGTATCTCAAAAATTAGAGCTCACAAGGAAAGATGGCCATTTTTGGAATCTGCGTGCCAGATATACCCAAAGTCAGGTCTGCATTCGAAGCACGAAAATATGTGTTGGCCTGTGTAATTATTATAGATGATATCAAGATGGATAAGACTTGGAAAATGGCTCAGAGGGGTTAAAGTGGCAATATATTTAACAATAGAGTTGGGAGTCAGAATGGGGAGATCACATCATAGGGGTGAGGAGTGAGATGAAACAACAAAGAAGCAGAGAGAAGCAGGGCTCTTTTCTTTGCTTTTCCTCTTAAATGCAGTTATTAATGCCATTGACTATATTGGTTTTGTCTTTATTTATAACTCTCTCCTCTGCACAACTTTATTGTCCCAGAGTGTTGGCCAATGAGCTGCTTAAAATGAAGTAGATTCAGTCACCAGACCAAGCACCACTTAAAACTGCTGTATTACCTAGTTACCCCCACTGTGCCATAGGGCTGCAAGGTTCAGCAAATTGTCAGAAAATTGTAGAGAAAATTGTGGAGCCAGTGGGTCTTGCTTTAACTCTTTTTATTTGCTCAGGATGCTGTGACATGATATACATGTAGCACTACCCCCTTAGGAGTCACTGAGTTTTGGGTCCCCCTACAGCTCTTTACAGCCATGTATTTTCTTCCACATGTTGCATTCAGAGTCAGTAAACAGCCATTGAGCTTGGTTTTGTGATTTTATTAAGGGGTTATTAACTTGGATAGGGTTGAGGGGTGTCTCAAGGGAACTACAACTTGAGGACAAACTCCTTAGCAATTATGTAAAGATATGGACAAAAAAACAGTCTCTCCTCTGAGAGCATTCCTGCTGTCTAATGTACCTCCTCAGAGCCCAGATGAATCCTCCTCTTCACCTAGCTGTACTGAAGGTATTCCCTGGACAGAGGCTCAGTAACTTCCAACATGAACAGTTCCAGATGAGGAACTAGTTGGGTTCTCCACCTGAGTAACTCTCCCCTTATCCGGTCCAGGTGGTGAAGGATTACTCACTCGGTCTCTCCTGCAAGCTTAGTGAGTTGGTGGCTTGCTTCAGGCCTGATGCTGGGCTGGCTCCTTCCCTGCTCCAGAGGCTGTCTTCTCTCATGAGATGTTGAGGCAGAGAGAACCTCCTTTCCAGCACCTTGCCAGTAGGTAGGCCTCTTCCCTGGGCCCCCTCCCTGGCTCCACACTCCAGCCTTCACTCCATCGTCCACCTGACACACAACCTGCATGCTTATCAGGCTGTCTCGTACCTAAGGACCGCCCTGACCCCATGCCAAGCCTCCTGCTTGGGGATTGGTCAGAGTCCCCTGAGCATGCAGATCACCTCCCTCACCCCCCACCCATTGCCTTCCAGAAACTTCTCAAGTTTCCAGAGCAAGGGGAGGTATCAAAGAACTGACCTGCAAAGCCCTCAGCCCTGACCTAGAGTAACCTGGCTGACTCATCCCAGGCTCCTAACAAGCCTCTATCTAACTAACTCCCCTTAGCTTAACTTGAAGGGCATTGCATACAGATGATAGGCGAAGTGTGAACCCGTCTCTACATTCAACTCTGTTGCACACACTAGTTTCCAGGGGAAAAGCCATCAGATATCTATTCAGTTTTTGAGCATATGTGGCAATACCTCCCCTAGCAATTAGGGATCTCTTTATAAAATAAATTGTTGAGCAAATGTTTCAAGCAATAGCTCAACTGTAACAAATATTCCTGTATTTTGTCTAAGGCAGTGGTTCTCAACCTTCCTAATGCCGCAACCCTTTAATACAGTTCCTCATGTTGTAGTGACCCCCCAACCATAAAATTATTTTCGTTGCTACTTCATAACTGTAATTTTGCAGTGGGAGGAGTAGTGCCACATCATTGGTGTCAGTAGGAGGAGTAGTGCCACATCACTGATGTCAGTGGGAGGAATAGTGTCTCATCGTTGGTATCAGCAGGAGGAATAGTGTCCCATCATTGGTATCAGTGGAGGGGGGGGAATAGTGCCCCATCATTGATGTCAGTGTGGGGGGGGGGACTAGTGCCCCATCATTGGTGTCAGTAGGGGGGGTAATAATGCCCCATCGTTGGTGTCAGTGGGGGGAGGAATAATGCCCCATCGTTGGTGTCAGTGGGGGGAGGAATAATGCCCCATCGTTGGTGTCAGTGGGGGGAGGAATAGTGCCCCATCGTTGGTGTCAGTGGGGGGAAATAGTGCCCCATCATTGGTGTTAGTGGGAGGAATAGTGCCCCATCATTGGTATTAGTGACACCAATGATACTTACCTTGCTGACCCCTGCTCCAGCCTTGGATCGCTCCCTCCCTCCCTCTCCCATCTACAGCCAGCATACCTGGCTGCAGCAGCACCATCTGCAAGGTACAGACACTTACCAGTCAGCTGTCTTACTTCTCCGGCTGCTCTCCTCTTCACTCGCTCCAGCAGCTCCCTCACTCGATCTTCTTTGATCTTCACGCTGCCGCTCGGCTCCTCCTCTCCAAGCTCCACCTCCTCACCTGTGATTGGCCGCCTGTGTGCCTCTCCTGAGCTATAGATCCGGCGGCCAATTACCAGCGAGGAGGCGGAGCTGTTGAGTGATCCTGGGAGTGTGGCCAGTTGACAGGGGTGGCATGTCATCCCGCCCACACATCGCTGTCCAGGGAAATGTGGGCGTATCTGCATGTGGGCGGACCTGCCTGGAAATGGATAGAGGAACGGTGTATCGGTTCCTAAGACCATGGAAAATATGGTTTTCCGATGGTCTCAGGTGACCCCTGTGAAAGGGTCATTCAACCCCCAAAGGGGTCGCGAACCACAGGTTGAGAACTGCTGGTCTTAGGGATGGTCAGCTCCATCTAGTGGCCATAATGCAGATTTTCAGGAAATATTGAAATCAGGAAAATCCCACCTTTATATCCAGTACATGGCACTAATAATAAAAAGAAATGAACGTATTTTCATGACAGCTGAGTGAAAGATTGAAATATTTTTATAGCAAAATATTTATAAATAGACTCCTAATTGTTTTTTTTTAAGGGACAAGCCCAGTAAAAGTGATAGGCCCCCAGACCAGTGACGTTTCATTGGTGATGATATTGTTTACTGCCCAGAGCCCAGGGCTCTGAGGAAGACCGTTACCCTTGAAACGCGTCAGCCAGATTTGGCCCCTAGATGGCACTTCATTGACGTCAGGGTCTTTGGATCATTGTGGATTAATGCATCTTCTGACTGTATACCTATATACGATCTGTCACCACTTGTTTTGAGTATAATATTTTATCCAGTTGTGATAAACAGTTATCTGTTTTAAACCTTTTGTTTTATTCTTCTGCAGTTGCATACAAATGCAGCCTGCTTAGGAACACCCACTCCCCAGACTGACTGATTCAACCATCAAGGCATTTTGGTATTGGCTTAACACCTTGTTTTGCTTGGCATCTAGTAAAAGTTACTTTGCATTATAAGCAAGGAAACATAGTCCTCTGTAGTGTATTAATATGCTTTTACAAAATGAAAATGCTGTACATAGACACAATTACAATTATAGGAATACAATACAAGACTGGCAGATATACCTATAAAAAGCAAAATGCTACCTACTACCTAGCGAAACTATGCTCTGTATACAATAGCAATATGCTATAAAGGTTACTTAACTCAGGTTAGATTGGGTTTATGATATCCATAGCCAACGCGAGGACCAAGGCTTACATTACAGCAATTGCAGGAGATAGGGAAAAAAACTTCTTCTGTCAGAGATCTTCCTTGGTGTTAAGTCATCTTAGAGTCCCCCTAATCAGTTTCTGTTTCCTTTTATTTAGAAAGCGTAGATAGCCAATCTCACATGGGTGTGGTCCCTCTCTACCTTATTACACTGTCCAATTTTATAGGTTATACATTCTCCAATTCGACCTCAATGGCACTGTTGTATCATACATGCCATAGGTCATATATGTTAGAAGGTCAAGCTATTGGTAACCATGGCTACAGAACAATAGCCAACTGTCAACTAAAATACAATGGTATCTATTTTACCATTGTATCCAGCAGCATTTGTTTGAGAATCATCTCCGCAAACTCCAGGAAACTTGATGTCTATCTCCAAGACAGTCTGAGGAAATCAGTACATATATATATATATAAAATATATATATATATATATATATATATATATATACATATCTCAAATCAAATGCAACCACCTCCAAAGAGAAGAACTTTCCCAGGCAGTTTTATAAAAATCATCTCTGCACAGTGCCTATTAGGATCTGTAGTGCAACCATTATTATTCTGAATCAGATTGTTGTGATAGCGATCTATCCCTTGTGAGACCTCTATGCCTAGCCTGTATAAGCAGATATAATCACTGTGGGCAATCCTTATCAGATAGCTGAACTCACCAATACTGTGTTCAACCAGAAGTTGCTTTATTCTGTACATGTGACAACAGGATACAGCAGAATGAATGGTTTCCAGTATTATGCGGTCAAAAGATGATACTTTCTGTAGCGTACTATGCAGAATACATGTGGACTGTTAGCTGCATCCATGACACAGGAAGTGCTGTACTCAAGAAGAAGGGAGGAGCTTCATATACAAAGGAACTGTGTCATAGATCTCAGGGAGGCAACATGAAAAACAAGTGCATTACCAAATAAGGCACTGGATGGCAGCATATAACTAACTATAGAAATATCCATAGGAAATGGTACAAAGAATAAACTATATGAATTCTCATGTACATTAACATAAATATTAACTGTGTAACAGCATACTCCCCATCTGACATTGTAAATGTCACTATTTAAACCATAACGGTTTTAGTTATACAATTGCAAATAAACAACAGCGCAATTTGCTTGATGTCTTGAAGACCTGAAAGACATAAAAAAGAGAACATGCATATAGTGCAACAATTATAACGTAAGGCTTCAAGTTGTATCAATTAAAGTTCAAGACACTTCCTTCTTGAAGTCACAGGTTGGATCCAGCAGCATACGCAAGCAAGTTAATTCTTCAAAGGGCAAGAGCAGAACAAGTTCCGTGATAGGTCTGCTGAAAGTCTTTACAGTCCCTTGTCTTGCAACTTTCACCTCCACCTTGCGTACCTTGCCGTCATCACTAGGAATGCTCTTTACAATGAGTCCCATAGGCCACTCAATTCTTTCAGCTTGCTGGTCCTTCAGCAGAACGAGATCTCCAACTTTAATGTTAGGGTTTAGGCATTGCCATTTTCTGCGTCCTTGCAGAGTAGAAATATACTCCATTCTCCAACGATTCCAGAAGCGGTTGGAGAGGTGTTGTACTCGCTTCCACTCGTCATAGCACAGATTTCCTGCTTTAAAGTTTCCAGGTGGAACAGGAATGGACCCAAGCTTCTGGGTAAGTAGAGTAGCTGGGGTAAAGATGGTTAGGGTCTCTGGATCTGTAGAAACTGGAACAAGTGGTCTTGAATTGATTATGGCAGATGCTTCTGCCAGGAAGGTGGTTAGAATCATGGGTAAGTCTTTGTGGAGTTCAAGTCCATAAGCATAGAGTCCAGTATTTTTCGTGTGATGCCTATCATTCTCTCCCAAGAGCCACCCATGTGGGAAGAATGAGGAGGATTGAAAATCCATGTACAGCCCTTTTCAGCTAAAAGGTCTGGGATTGGCCTAGAGTTAAGCTGTAACTCTCGACAGGCTCCAACGAAATTAGTTCCACAGTCAGATCTTAGTGTCTTGACTGGTCCTCTGATGGCAAGAAAATCGTTCTTAGAGCATTGATGAAACTTGAGGCATCCATAGATTCTATGACTTCAATGTGTACTGCGCGCACACTCATACAAAGTGAACAGCACTGCCCATCGTTTGCTGTTTGCTTGGCCACCTCGAGTTCTGCGGGCTGTTACCATCCATGGTCCAAAGACATCCAAACCAACGTGAGTGAAAGGTGGGTCAGTACTTAATCTGTCGGCTGGCAAATCTGACATTTGCTGTTGCTGATGTTTACCTCTTAGTTTCCAGCACTGAACACAGCTGTGCAGTGTAGTTGTAATCTGTCTTTTTGCTCCTATAATCCAAAGGCCTGCAGCTCTTATGGCACCCTCTGTGAAGTGTCTTCCTTGGTGCTTAACCCCCTTCATGGTAGTGCCGTATGAGCAGACTGGTGATATGATGGCGAGCAGGTATAATGAGTTGGGAGATCAATTCCTGATCTCCCAACTCAGCCTTGTTTAAACGTCCACCAACCCTTAACATGCCATCACTGTCAATGAATGGGTTCAGGTTAGCAATTGAACAGTTTTTTGGAATGTCTCTGTTGTCACGGATATATTTTAATTTCTGAGCCAAAGACATCCTGTTGTACATTGTGGATTATGATCATTTCACCTTCAGCAATGTCTTTTGCAGAAAGAAGCTTTTGGCACATGTGCCAACCTTGACATTGAACATTGGTGGGCTTTGTGTGAAAGCAGTATTGTCAAGGTCCTACCTTTTCCCATAGGTTATGTTACTCCATGTGCTAGCATCCATCTTGGATTTCTGCTGAGCATGATGGGAATCTTTTATGCCTTCAGGTCTCTGAGGTCCATCCCCCAGAGGGGTGTGGCTGAGTACATATAAGCCTGGGATCTGCACATGCTCTTTGCACTTGTGTCTTGTGTCTTTGTCTTGCTACAGCTCTGTGTATACGCTCGTGACTCTTCTGGTATTCTGACTCGGCTTGTGACTAAGACCATTCTCTGTGTTTCCCTTTGATCTGATCTTCCGTTGCTGAAACCCGGCCCGTGACCTGTGATTCTCTGTCTACTGTTCTGTACAGTTTTGTCCCGTTGTTATTGACCCGGCTTGTCTGACTACGCTATTGTCATTCTCACCAGCTACACACCATTGGCGGCGGCCATTACCGCAGCTGGGGTGTCTCGGGGGCCGCGACCTGGTCCCTGGTTGCGTCAAGTCCATCCCCACCATCAGGGGCCCTGGTGAAGGGCAGCCTGGGACTTAGACTCCGCGCCCTGAGGGACTTCAGTTGTTGGTGGTGGTTTGTCGTCAGCCAGTGCGTTACCCTGCCACTAGGCCTACCTGTCCGTTCCACAGCCCTGCCCTGACATTACACAAGTGCCATGAATCCTGACGGTGCAGGTACGCCTTCACTTCCAATGTTGGTCGCCAGACTGGATCAACAGGATCTCCTGTTGGATCAGTTCGCTCAGGCATTGCAAACTCTGCTGGCACGCACCCGCGCACCTTACTCCTGGTGTTATTAGGCCGGTTGTCACTCCGTGGTCGCTCCCGCTGCTGTTCCGCTTGCTGTGCCTACCGCCGCGGCTGATGTGGCACCTGCGGTGTCCAGAGGTATGACCGGTTCAGCCCCTCTTCCACAGCGCTTTTTGGGGGTGAGCCGAGTCAGTGTCGTGGGTTCCTTAACCAGGTGGGGATTTACTTTGAATTAATCCCTTACTCTTTTCCGACTGAGAGGTCAAAGGTGGGTTTCCTCATCCACTACTCTCAGACAAGGCCTTGGCCTGGGCGAATCCCTTATGGGAGAGGAATGACCCAGTGATTCACGAGTTTTCCGGTTTTGTCGATGCCTTCTGTAGGGTATTCGATGTACCGGCTCGCTCCGCCTCGGCTGCCAAGCTGCTCATGTCTATGCATCAGGTTCACGGACCGTGGCCGAGTACGCCATAGAGTTTTGTACCCTGGCAGCAGAGGTGGGTTGGAACAATGAGGCTCTGGTGGCTGCGTTTTCTCAGGGTCTTTCTGATGCATTG